AAAAATTGAGGGTTTTTCAAAACGAGTCTAGTTATATATATATATATATATATATATATATATATATATATATATATATATATATATATATACTTTTAAATGTTATATTCAGTGGATAGACATATTTCAGTCGACTTTCCGTTTATTTTCTTCAACAGTGGATTTATTTTCGTCTACCATTAATAAAGAAATAAATCATTACTTCTTTAAAAACAAATATCTATCTACCTATATATGTGTGTGTGTGCACGCGCGTGTGTGTGTATTTATGTGCATGTATGTCTGTGTTAATATGCTTCTCTCTCTCTCTCTGCATGTGTGTATCAGTGTGTGCACTTTTGTTTACTTCTTCGTCGGGTCGTCTATGCGTATGTATAGATGCGCATGTCTACGTGTGTATATATATGGATGTGTGCACTGTGCGAAATTTCTTAAAAGAATGAAGGATTATTATAATAAAAAAAAAGAAAAATTAAAGTCTGTACTTCGAGAATGTATTTTAAAACTTCGTCACTAATAACTGATCCTGTCTCCTCTCACGATGTCCATCTTTGTTAGATAGCTTTATGCCTGATGGACGACTAAAGCTATCTAAATATCCACGTTTTATTGCTATCATCAAATGCAAATAAATCAGAAAAATTCCGCTATTTCGTTATTAAAAAGCAATCTGAATTTTATTTATTTTACTTGAACGCTCGGCGTACATCGCTTAAACTTACCTAATGATTAAAATATTTCTTCTTTCTTTTTAAAGAGTCATTTGCTTTGCCATTAATGTGATAGGCATCATTTGTGTTTTCGGCTTTTTTTTTTCTGCTTATTAAGCATTTATTTTTATTTTGCATTAAGCAGAAAACAAAATTTGCTACAATTTAGGCCGTAACCCATATTATACAAAATAAGAATAAACTGCAAACGACCGATAAAGTCCGCCATTTTGACATTATGGGTATCCAATTAGAATCCGAATCGATATTTTTATTTGTAGTCGGGGAGAGTCGCCTTTCACATACCACACATCAACTCTCATATACATGAAGATTTATTTCAGTTTTATTATTAAATAAAAGCAAATAATTATTCGAATATAAGATGCGGGTAGTGTAATGGTCGTCGGTACGGAAAATAGAATAGGTGAGTCGAGTTCAAATCCAGGTCAAGACTACTGCGTCAGCGCTAATACTAAAAACATACACTACAGGCAAAATATTTGGCCGCACACTGCCTTCCTTTAAAAAAAATCTTTTGAGATATTTATGCATTTTTTTCAGTACAATATACAACTTCAGTATGTGCAGTGTATTTGCTTTTATTTTGACAAAAAATGATTATACAACAGCATCATATTTTGTTTTCGTCAGTAAAACCACCACCTGCCTTAATTACTGCAATACAAATTTATAGCATTCTTGCCAAGAGTTTCTGAAAAAAAATTAGATAGCAGACCTTCCCAAGTATTCTTCCAGCACCGTAAACGCTCACTCTCACTCATTTTCTTCAAACTCTCCTATCCAATTAATCCCATACTAATGCTGTGGATTGAGGCGAACAAGTCATAATTTCTAAAATTGGAATGGATAAGGTATCTAATTTAATTTGTTTTATAATTGCCACTTATCTCCAGAGATCCCAAGGCATTTTCGCTCACATACAGTTTTAACTTTCTTTTATTTTAACCTGAGGAAGAGCAAGCACTCTGTTTCCACTTTGTCTCATTATATATATATGACAGGAATCGAACCTATATCCTATACGGAACCGTCATATAGCCTGACGTGCCTTAACCGATTTGGCCACAGAGGAGCGTTCGGTTAGCAAGGTCGATTTCATAATGTACGACGTCATTGTTTACATGTGGATACGCCATAAGCAGATATGAATGTACGTGAGAGAATCATGGAAGATTGTAGTTTAAAGACAGTAATATCGACCTGGCTAACCTATCTATAAAAATATAGGAGCGGCGTTATATCGAGTCTAATTCGTTGCCTCTTCGTTGGTACAGTTGGTATGGCGTTTGCCTCCTGTCGTAACTGTTGGGTTTTCAATCCTCGGTAGTGGGTGCGCACTGCTGATGAGTCCCAAATATAGGACAACAACGGCCGTCCAGTGCTTTCTGCATTCTGCTGAGGTTTCTTCTAGACTCGGTGAATTACTAAATTATGATTATTTCAAATCCTCCTAATTATATATATATATATATATAATCGAGTTAAACGTTATTTTTAGTTGATACTCGTATTTTTTTAGACCCTCTGTTTATTTTAAAAAAAGTATTTCGTCTTCAGACCTGAACATAGTTATTCTGAGAAATCTTATGAAAGGAAAATTTCACCCACCAGCCGAATACAAGCCTACGTTCCCCTTTGAAGTTGAAATCGTCGTTCGATCCTATATATTTTGACTAACTCGGCTATGAAGAGGAAGAACATAAATATGTGGATATGTAATGAAAAATTTGTTCATTACGACTTATTTTCCTTTACTTATTCTAACCAAGACAAGTCAGATACAAGGCTAACAATTTAGAGTCCGTATTGCGATATTTCTTCACAGATGTGGTTCTACAAAAGGATAGTGAGAATACCATGAACGTAGCATGTAAAAGGACACTTTTTCTTCTTATTTTTTTTAATCAAAAAAAGCAAGGCAGCAAAGCCACGAACGCTATAACAATGGGGGGTTACTGAGTGTGAATGAATATAAAAAAAATGCACTTTTAAAAAACTGAGACTTATAATTAGAGTCAGAAAGAGACCGTTTAAATTTCTACGTCAGAGGAAAGACGGTTCGGAAAATTCGACACACACAGAATATAACGAAAGTAAAAGGGACTGGGATAAATAGCAGATCATGTACGTGCCAAATCTAATAGTTCAAAGAGGAAATACACGAACATTGCTTAGAGTTAAAACGGATAGGAAGTTGTGGAGTGCCATGATCACTCCCATTCTGAAGCGACACGGCACACAGAAGATTCCGAAATCAAACAATCTTTTTAATAATGCTATTATTCTAAATCTCTATTTGATCATTGTCTTTGTTGTTGTTTTTAATGTAACTGTTGTTTGTTTTTTTTTTTTTTACGTTTTCTTTTTAATTTTATCTCTCACAAAATACAGTGAATGCGTTCTTGGAACCGACATTCTCTTAAAATCTGCATTCTGTCTCGCGAAACTGGAGGATGCGTTCCTTTATATAAGAATCGCAGGAAGTGATGAAGTATTCTTTAAAAGACTTCCTGGCATCCTTTTCTCTGTCGTTAAAATATATAGCCTTTAGTTTATACATTTCGGCTGCGATCAAAAGAGCTGCTACCCGAAAGTTTGAGAAATGCGGACAAACAGATCAGTCAGTTCACCTGTCAAGTTATTAATGTTTCCCATGTCTCGCCAGATATTTCACAATTCTCCCGAAATCAAGCCGCAAGAAAATAGGGAACCTCATTTTTTTTTCTAAGTAAAGATATTTATTTCGCTTTCAAGAAGTTAATTTGTGTCTTAAGTTTCGTCAGTTATCGGTTATTTGCGTTAAAAACGAAAAAACCTCGTGGTTATAGCCTTAGTGGCAAGACCACAAAAAAAAACGGATAACTCGTGAACGGCGTTATAACAAAAACTACCAAGCACCAGATATCATCATCTTTATGTGCTCCAGGAGTAGGCGATCATGACTCTCCACAACTTCCTGTCTCTTGTAGCTCTTAATAGACTTTGTCTTTCTGCTATTCCTCCTAAGCTCTAGACAATCATCCATTTTCTCAAGCTCACTAAGTAAGTTATACGTTGTTTTCCTCTATCTCTCTTGCCATCTATCTGTCCCGTGAGTATCAGATTTTCCAAGCCCACTTTTCTCATTATGTACCTCAGAAAACTCGACTGTCTCTTCCTGGTGTTAAGTATTAGTTTCCTTTCTGTTCCCATTCTCTCCAAAACTTCGTCGTTGCACACATGTTCAGTCCACAGTATCCTCAGCATCCTTCTGTTTGACCATATTTCTCTTACTACAAATCGCCTCTTCATCTTTGAGGAACTTGTTAAATTCATCAACACCCCCCACCATTTTTCCGGCACACGGAGGAAGTGAGATGTGAAGAGGATAGGCAAAGAGAATGTTGGGATGTTAATCTACGGTTTTAGATTCATACTATGTCGTTTTAGACATTTTTTCTCTCGCCAGAATCTATCCTTATCTTTATAAGTTTGCCACACGTCCGTGTATTGAATATTACTACTATACCTCGTCTACTACTCCGGCTATGGATCTAGAGATTCTTGACAACCACTCCCAACCCAAACAAAGAAAAATGTGCCTTAAGTTCCACGAACGTTTGAGTAACATCTCGGTCATAAGTCGTTTTTATTCACCAAAACTCTTTCATGTTTACCGTTGTATATCGTATCTGGTTGTCGCGTTCAAACAAAGCCTCTTAAGTTTACCTTGTATCCACCGCAAAAGAGGCTGTTGTCATTGATATCTTTGTGAGTTGCATAGTTAAATCTCCACATAGCACTTCGCGCGGGAGGGTCGATCAATCGACCGTGGCCAGCAACTGGAAATTAAAAAAAAATATTATCCTTGTAAATAAAATATTAAAAAAAAAATAAAACAGTCTGTTGTTAACAAGAGTAAGAAGTGGCTTGTTAATTTTAACGCACCCAAAAAACAAAAATTGCTCTCTTTTAATCGTCTGAGAGAAAAACTTTTTTTTTTTACCTTCCATCAGCACGGCTGATGCTAACCACCAGGAGAGTGGCTCATTGCACCTTCTCAGTCTAACGTTTTCCACTAGTATGAAATGGAACGACCCTATTGAATCAATTACTACATCTGCTACTAGGAATTCTGATTCACTGTGTCATGCTAAACATTTTTTCTAGCCAGAATCTATTTTATACCTTTATAAGTTTACCACTCGTCCGTGGATTGAATATTGCCGCCATATACGGCCTGGTGCTCCAGCTATGCATCTACAGATTATTGAAAAGATTCAAGGCTTACGGTCACATCACATTGAAACACCGATTCTCGTACGATCAGCAAAGTTAAGCTACGTCGAGTCTGGTCAGAACCTAGATGAGTGACCACTCAGAAATAACAGGTGCTGCCTGTTTGGACGTGCAGGTGGTGTAAGGGGGTTACGCACATATCAGATTGAAACATCGGTTCCCGTACGATCGCTAAAGTTAAGCAACGTCGAGCCTGGTCAGTACCTAGATGGGTGACCGCTGGGGATTACCAGGTGTTGTAAGCTTGGATGTGGGGATGGTATAAAGGGCTTACGGACACAACGCGTTGATACATCGATTCCCGTACGATCACCAAAGTTAAGCAACGTCGAACCTGGTCAGTACCTAGATGTATGACCGCTTGGGAACGCCACGTGCTGTAAGGTTGGACGTGCGGGTGGCGTGATGGATAATGCCTTGAAATAGTTAATCGGAGAGCCGAGTTTCAATTCTAGTTGGATTCGTTATATTCACTTACGCGCAAATACCACTAGGAAAGGTATGAGTCCAGCTCTCCCCCAGCTATGGGTTAATTATTAAACCTGTTTCACTAAAAACCATTATTAAAATAAATAAATAAAATTGCATACAAAATATTTAAATTTTGGCATTAAATAAACCCATAGAGGTGTTGATATGCCGTTACACAAAAACAACCATCAACTAAAACATTCCAAAAATAATCTACAATCTAGTAGTAAACTTCAATTATTGCGGTCGAGGTACCAAAGATGGAGAGCTCATTAAAAAAACTCTCATTATGATATTTATAGAAAAGACAGAGGGAAGTCACGTTATGGCGGTGGGTGACATGAGCGAAGTCGAGATGCCAGGTCAGCTGTCATGAAGTGGAAAGAATACATTGCGTCAATAGAACACACTGTGGCGGGGCTTCACCACTACCTGGCTTCATCAAGCGCCTAACTCAACTAGCAAAATGCCAACTATCAAAACACCTAAAGTATTTTGAAAAAAAAACATATTTTTTATGAAGACCAGCTTCCTTTGTCTTTCACTTGGAATAACCAAACTATTGCTTTCTACTGTTTGATTCCATGGATCTAACGTTCCTGTACCATCCCTACCAAAAACGTAGTATTCTTCCTAGCCAATCGAAATTAGCAAGCTGGACGTAACCTGATTCTAAGGAGATCCACATGTGGTCGTCGTACTTTACTGAGATTTCTTAGTGGCATTACAGCGTAAACGATGGGAAAAAAAAAAAATCTAGTAGTACACTTCAATTATTGCGGTCGAGGTAAAAAAACTTAAGAGCTCATTAGAACAAATGCCATTACGATATTTATAGGAAAGACAGAAGGAAGCCACGCCACGACCGTAGGTGATGTGAGCGAAGTCGAGATGCCAGGTCACATTTCAGTTCTCATAGTGGAAAGAATATATTGCGTCAATTGAACACACTGTGAAGGAGTCTCACCACTGCCTGGCATCCCCATTCGTCAAACTCAACTAACAAAATGTCAACTTGCAAAACATCTAAAAAAAAAACTGTCTCCATAACCTTTCCTCTTGGCCATCTTCCTTTGTCTTTGACTTGGAAGCTTTTCACCATTGAGTAACCATTGCTTTCAGTGGTCTCATTCCATCGATCTGACCTTCTCTGTACAACCCCTACCAAAAACGTAATATTCTCTGTCTCGTCACTTGGCGGTGTTTTTGATCTTTACGTCTATAGTCAATCGACATTAGCAAGCTGGGACGTAACATGATTCTACAGGGATTTCGCCCAGTGGTCGTCGTACCTTCGAGATTTCTTAGTGGCATTACAGCTTAAACGATGGGACCTAGTTGCCAATCAAGTAGTATACTTCAATTAATGCGGTCGAAGTACAAAGGAGGAGAGCTCATTAGAAAAACTCTCATTATGATATTTATAGGAAAGACGGAGGGAAGCCACATCATGGCGGTAGCTGACGTGAGCGAAGTCGTGATGTCAAATCACATTTCAGCTGACATGACGTGGAAAGAATATATTGACTCAACTGCTAAGTCTGCAGTTAAGGAATTTAGTTCACTGTATCGTACTAGATAATTTATATCTCCAGAATCTATCTTGCATATTTATAAGTCTACCATTGGTCCGTACATAAAGTCTTTCTGCTACATCTTATCTGGTACATGTGCTAAGTATCGAGAGATTCTTGATAAACCCAAAGAAGAATCTGCCATGTTACCGTTCCTAGCCTGACAACTCGGCTTCAGTTTCTTCCCCCAACGCCGTAACGTAAATTCCCTTTTGTGTCTTTTCTATAAATATTTTCATACTAAATGTTGTAAAGAACTTTCCTCTTTGGTGGCTCGACTTCGCAAATTGAAGCGCACTACTATATTGGCAGTTAGGTTCCAACATTTTAAAGTAGAAATTGCCAGATGCAGCCGTGAGTTCTGTTCTAACAGTTTCTTCTCTCGAGCTTCTCGCCTGTGGACCTCTCTTCCATTTTATTGCTTTCCTGTCAACTACGATCTTGAGAAATTTAAATGCAAAATCAATCGTCATCTTCTGTCTCCTTGAAACCTGTTCTTTTAATGTCAGCTCTCCTCAGTAATGTCTTTTCTTTTCTCGGATTATTTCACTCTCAGTAACTCGTCGAGTCTTTGTGGCTTTATTACGGGAAATATTCAGTTAATAGTTAATGCTGATCACTGTCTGACAGATTCAAAAAAAAAATCCAATTATTTTATCCAGGATATTAAAGTTGAATAATACTGAACTCTAGTATCTATTAGTAGATTTAGTACACCAGTTAAATTTTTTGAAGACTTACTTTCAACAGACTTCTCTACTTTTTTGTTTCGTTCTTTCGTTTCCCGTAGGGTTTTTTTTTTCTTTCTTTCTTTACTTTCTAAATTTTCCTGTTTTCAATCTATCGGTATTTTAGTGATATCTGCATATATGTATAGTGTTTGCTTAAGCATTTTTACAAATAATCAGATAGATAGATAGATAGATAGATAGATAGATAGATAGATAGATATGAACAGACTAGGATAGATAGATATGAACAGACTAGGATAGATAGATAGTGTTATGGGGTCCACCCCTTTTTCATACAAGTGGACTCGACCAGCGTGTACTTTGACTGCTGCCGTTAAATACCCATAGTTAGTCAGAGTAGAGAGAGCAGAGATTGTGATTGAGTTGGAGGTAGAGTAATAGTGTGAGGTAACCGCTTGTAGAAGTCACAGTTACAAGCACGTAGACTCTAAGGAAGTCCTACTTGAGACTGATAGATATAGACTGTATATATATATATTATTATTGCTACTAACCACGTTCCTGGATCTACTAACCGTATTACCAATTGTATTATTGTGTAAATACATTTATTTGTTATATTTCATTTCTTCGTTTGTCATTCATTGGAGACCGGATTTCATCTCGGAATCCACAAAAGAATGATAGATAGATAGATAGATAGATAGATAGATAGATAGATAGATATGAACAGACTAGGATAGATAGATATGAACAGTGTAGGATAGATAGATAGATAGATAGATAGATAGATAGATAGATAGATAGATAGATAGATAGATAGATATGAACAGACTAGGATAGATAGATAGATAGATAGATAGATAGATAGATAGATAGATAGATATGAACAGACTAGGATAGATAGATATGAACAGAGAAGGATAGATAGATAGATAGATAGATAGATAGATAGATAGATAGATAGATAGATATGAACAGAGAAGGATAGATAGATAGATAGATAGATAGATAGATAGATAGATCATATGAACAGGCTGACATAAATAGACACTCCCAAAGAACTTCTACATATTTCACATATATAAATTTCCAAGAGAAAAAGTTTTAATATGTAGTTAATCAAATTATGGCATCATATTTGCATTGAAGTTTTACTTGATATCGAATGGAGAATTTTCTATTGTAATTAAGTAATAAACTGAAGTAGTGCAGGTTAATATATTAAATTGAATATATATATATATATATATATATATATATATATATATATATAGAGTTCTTATAATAACAGCCAAGACTTTTACCAAATACGGCATCGTTTTTCCCAACTTTAAGTAAGTTTCTATATGGAATTAGTGGTTTAGCTTTTCTTTAGTTATCAAATAACGAACTGGTGCGCCTAGAATTACTCCATATTAATTTGGTATTTAGAAAGATATAAAAATATATTTAAAGAGTCCGAATCATCTAATAATGTTAAAATTTCTTGCTATGGTTGTTATATCGCTCTGTGTAGTAGCTGTTGTAGCACAGTTATCCACGTTACGTTTAGCAAACGGGTTCGCTATGCAATGCCCTTATATTCACCAGTTGTTCTCTATTTATACTTGTCTATCTAATTTGCATACGATACTACACCTCCCTGAATCGGAGAGGTCGTATACCCTTTTTCTTTTTTTTCTTTTTTTGTTTGCTATTCTTAATTATTTTCGTATTGTGTTGTCCTTCCTCTTGTCATTCTTTTTCTCTTTAATGGTGATCTCAGTCTCTCTTCATTTTCTTCTTCATATTCTTCCGTCTTTGTATTCTCACTTTCTTCCATTTCCTACACTGTCTGTTCTTTTTCTTGATATTTTTCTTTGAATGTCCTGTCTCTTCACTAACGTCTTCTAATTTTCTCTCATTTGCAGTAACCCCTTGCGTCTTAGTGGCATTATCGCTTTCGGGGTGAAATGTTTAAAAAAAAAAAAAAAAAAAACACTGGTATTGTTATGTTTGGTATATCCTTCTATGTCGTAGCAGTCGTAGCACAGTTCTCCACGTTACGCTTAGCGAACGGGTTCGTTAAGCAATGATATTTGCCAACCGCCCTACGCGGTCAGATGTAGCACAAGGCCGAATTTAACGTGGGGTATCCGAACCCGTAGGCTCGGGCAAAAATTCCGCGTAGACCCCGTAAAAAAAACGGGATCGGGTAGCTATCTACCATCCCAGACGAGACTCTGCCCTTCGGCATAGCCTCATCCGGGTTCCTCTCCGCCCGAAGGCAGAGAGTTCGACCAGCACAGCTAGAGACGAAGCTCCAACTGATTGCCGAAGCAAGCCCGGGTTCGTTAGGCAATGTCCATGTTCACCAGTTGTTCCCTATTTAGAGTTGTCTATCTCATTTGCATACGATACTACACTTCTGAAAATAGTGAAGAAAATATTATATTAGTAAAGCAGTATATAATTTAGAATGTAGGAAATCTATTAATTTTAGGTATTATTTATGTTGACTTTAGTTGTTTTTTTTATCTTAGTTTCTTTAGTAATTTTACCTATATTTTGTCTGTTGCAGTCTCTGTGTCTTTTTTCTTTGTTGTTAATTATTCCAGCTAGTGTGTATACTATGCATAATTCTACTAGTTCGCCTTTCATGCCC